CCCTCGTTTCAATGCAATATTACTGGCTCGTGTGCCATCAGCCAGTTCAATGTAATGTTTTGATGGTTTAAATGTCATGTCTATTTGCTTTAAAATATCAGTAGTAACAATGTGAGAAGTGGCACCTGTGTCAACCAACATTCCCATTCGATTGATTTTCCCCGTTGCTTCGTCGTTAACTTTGAATGCAAATGAATGTTCATCTTTAGAGGCGTTTTCGTTCTCCGACACCTGTTTGGTTTGGTCTTTGCTCTTTTGCTGACTTCTGCAGGTGCTATCCGAGTGTGTTGTACTTTTGTGATAGTTACACCACTTCTTCTCGCTCTTAGCAGGGCACTCTCTGACTAAATGCCCTCTTTTCCCGCAGCCATAACATGTCATTGTTTGCAAAGGAAACTCAGCTTTCATTACCTGATCAACTTTCGGTTTGGTGTTGAGCTTTTCCGTTTCTTCGAAGCTCCTCAACATGCTCTTAAACTTCGCGAACGTTATCTCACTTGCCCTTTGGGTCACATGTATCGAGAACGGTTTATATGAATCAGGCAGCCCCTTTAAGATCATAGCAATTATTAGCCCATCGCTTAACGTTTCTTTGGCGTTCTTAAGCGCTGTTATTGCTTTCTCGGCTCTTATTAAGTAATCTGTGACTGTCTCGTGAAGTGCTTTTTCAAGTGACGTTAGCTCGGTGTAGAGTGTGATGATTCTTGGTTTGCCTTGATTTGCATAATGGTCTCGGAGTATTTGTAAAGCCTTTCGGCCATCGTCGGTAGCATCCCTCATTACCAATGACAGACTGGTGTCATCCAAACACTGTATAAGCTCGGCGTAGCATTCTTCGTTCTTTGTTGCGTCAGCCTCTTCTTCTGACTGCAGGATAGTATCCTTTAGTTTTAATAACCTCATGTGCGCGAGGAATTTCGCTTCCCACAGTTCGTAATTGCTTTCGTTTCCATCGAAAGTCAACCTTCACCAGCGCGATTCTCTGCTGGGCCCATAACCTGTTGTAGCCATGACTTTAGAACACCGTATTTGTAATGAAATCACTCTTTATTTTCACGTTTATTACAAATGTAGTTTTGTACAGTAAGTTACTTTCACGAGGAAGTTCAACTTACAACACAACAATCCCATCATGCATTTGTCTCTCAGTATTACGTCATACTAATATTTGGATAACATACAGTTTTATATTGAACTCAACACAACCACTGCACCCAATGCACCTACTGCAACCAATGCAATCACTGCACCTATTGCAACCACTGCACCCAATGCACCCACTGCCACCATTGCAATCTCTGCAACCATTGTACCCACTGCCACCATTGCACCCATTGCAACCGCTGCACTCACTGCAACCATTGCAACCATTGCACCCAATGCAACCACTGCACCCACTGCCACCATTGCACCCACTGCAACCATTGCACCCACTGCAACCATTGCAACCACTGCAACCATTGCACCCACTGCAACCATTGCACCCACTGCAACCATTGCACCCACTGCAACCATTGCACCCACTGCAACCATTGCACCCACTGCAACCATTGCACCCACTGCAACCATTGCACCCACACGGATTGTCAGGGCTATTTTGGCAAGATTGCGGTTGGAATCACTTCCGGCTTTGAAAACGAAAATCGTGTAGGGAAAACCCTTTTACCTAACAGCCAATCACAGTGCATCTTCCGAGCACTGCGAGATTAAACTGAAACGGACAATTAAATAGAGAATAATACATGGTGCGCGGAAATACCAGATTTATTTCGAGTGTTTAACATGATATCTCACGAGTGAGCGCAGCGAACGAGTGAGATATCGTGTTCAACACGAGAAATAAATCTGGTATTTCCAAGCACCCATGTATTTTTCTGTTTATTATATAAAGGACAGTCTTTGAAAAGCGATAATTTTTACAGAAAAGCGATAATTGAAAAGCGATAATTTTCACATGTGAGATTATTCATGAATAATCTCACATGTGAGATTATCACTTTTATCAGTGCTCGAAATCTCTATAAAGCACTGTACTTTATATAATAAAAACTATTTATTTATACGACGAAATATTGACGAAATCTAGTTAACTTTTTTCGAAGATGCAAATTGTTTTCACTCCCTGGACAGATGAAATAAAAAAATAAACTCACGGTGGGTTTAAAATTTATTTTTAACGCATATTTCAACTCAGAAATATCTTTAGAAAGTTTATTAATCGCTGGGAGGGCGACTATAGGTTTCGGTCGGCATTTTTCTCCAATCCCCAATCTCCAATCTCCACGTTACAAAATGGAACGCTTCATGTAAGCATCAACTATAGTTCAGAATAGTCTATAAAGGCTGTTCCGGAAGCGAAAAAAGCAAATACATGCAGAGGAATAGCGTATGGAGTCGACCAAGTGCGAATATTCATAAAAATCAAACAAATGCGTGTTTTTGCTGTGTTCACCAGGGGCTGGTTGTACAAGTTCAATGTTACATGTTTGATATTTGGTTTACATGTCACGAATGACGAAAATGCAGTAAATGTTGCCCGCACACGAGGAAATTTTGTTGATCCAACTTGTCACGAATAACAAGTACGCGCGACAAGTGCGCTCGTGTGCGGCGGGCTTTAAGACTGTAAGCAAACGTACACGTTATGTTATTTTTAAAATACTTCTATATATTGCATGGTGGTTTAATTTCAAATAATTTATTCATTAATCATTATGGTGTAATTTTGAATTACAATGTGTGTTCCTTTATACAGGGTGTCCCAAAAAAGCAGCAAACTATTGAAAAAACGTATTGTTAGAATTGGAATGCCTTAGCACTAAGCTGAACGCAAAGATGCGTAAAATATTGACGGGGTGCATATTAATAACAGATAAGTCAAATTGATTGAAGTTTTGATATGAATTCCAAGGAGACAGGCCGAAGAAGATCAAATTGCCGTCTTGCCGAAGAAGATCAAATTGAATTACGAATTGAAATCTTTCAGACATTCAAGCAACTATATTATTCTTTGATTTCTTTCTTATTTAGCATTAGCACCACTGCTGTTTCTATTATATATAAATGATATTCAAAACTGCAGTAAAATAGTTTCTATTATTCTATTTGCAGATGATACTAATGTATTTTATAGTCATACCTGTCTAAAAACACTTAATGAAATAATGCAAATAGAAATCAATAAAATATCGGATTGGCTGAATATAAATAAATTATCTATAAACACGGCGAAAACTAAATTTATGTTATTTAGATCATCGAAGAAAAAACAAAAACATAATGTAACTATTTCTATAAATGAACAAATAATTAAGCAAGTTAAAGACACTACATTTCTAGGCGTTGTTATTGTCGGAAACTTCATTTTACATTCATGTAAGGTAACCGGAAATCACGTGATATGGCGTGACCCCACATGGCGTGACATGTAGTGGAAAAAACTTGCGATCGTTGTGATTTATATATCTGTATTTCTGTGAAACTTGTGATTAAAATACAACTAAAAAGTTACTTTAAACAGTCGATTTCGATCGTTTTCAACACTTGGCGACCCCGGCAGGATATAACGTGATTTAGCTCGAATAAGAGCAAGAACCAAGGGGAAATCGACGGGTTTTAAAGTATCGTATTACAATATCAACATTGTGCGAATATTAATATCGAGCGACAAAAGAATACATTGCAAACGTTGGGAAATGCGGCTGAAAATGCGAGAACAACACTCGAAGAAATCAAGATCGCCGGGGGGGAGAAAGTCGAGGATATTACAACATGGAGTAAAGACGTGGAGAGCCAGATTGCAGTTGTCGATGAGGACATTGTTTATTTGTCAAACTGTTTAGATGAAGTTGAGCAAGCAGAAATTGACAAGGGTCGAAAGCAACAAATCGAGTTTGAACGAGAACTTTTCGAACAGAAACTTCACTTCAAAGAGATGGAATTGAAGAAGTCAACCCCCCTGGAAAACCCAAGTACTGAGAAAGCCCTAACGGCGAAGCTTCCAAAACTCAGTACTTACTAAATTCAATGGTGAATACATTGATTGGAACAGATTTTGGAACCAATTCACTGAAGAGATCGACAAATCAGGTATGGCACCCATTACTAAATTCTCTTATTTAAAAGAATTTGTTGAACCGAAAGTGCGAAAGGGTATTGACGGGTTACCATTCACAGTCGAAGGCTATAATAGGGCAAAAAGTATTCTCGAGGAAAGATATGGCAAAGAGAGTGAAATAGTGAAAGCTTATGTGAAAGATATTATTGATTTACCAACTGTCAGGGAGGCTGACCCGATACAAGTCCACCAGTTTTACGAACGGTTAGTGTATGATGTGCAATCCCTGGAGACCATGGGTAAACTAGAAAGGGTGAATGGAAATGTACCACTTACTCTGGACAAATTGTCGGGTATTCGGAGTGATCTTGTCAGCCATGATGATGAGTGGCAAGAGTGGGATTTTGTAAAGCTCTGCGAAGCACTGCGTTCTTGGACACGTAGAAATCCCATAGAGAAAGAAGACAAGTATCGAAAGCGTAACACCAAGGTCTACAATACACAACACCGTGAAGTGAGGGTGTGTGTTTACTGTGGCGAGCCTTCACACAAAGGAATTCAATGTCAGCGGTTTGCATCACCAAGAGAAAGGAAGAAAATTTTAGCAGAGAAAAAACTCTGTTTTAACTGTACAGGCCCAAGACATAGGGCAGCTGACTGCAAGAGTACTACTGGTTGTCAATTATGTTCTAAGCGTCATCATACTTCTATTTGTGAAACAAAGAAACCGGACGGAGAGAATATGATGTCAACATGTGATGGCGACAAGGTTATTCACCCTATTGTTGTGATAAAAGTTGACGGTGTTGAGTGTCGTGCCTTGGTTGACTCTGGTGCCTCGTCAAAGTTGCTTGATTCATTAGGGAAGAAACCAACCGAAGTGAAATACAAGAAAGTGGAAATGTTGATGGCTTCTACTACAACAAGAATGGAGATACACAATTCAACTATCTCTTCTAGATCAGGTGATTATGAGTTAGAAGTGGATCTAATCAAAGTTAATAAGGGAACACTCCTCGAAGTAGAGAACCCGCAGTACAAGGAACTAATTGAGTCCTATTCTCATTTGAAAGGTGTGAAAATGGACGACTATGACACTAAACCCTATCTCCCAGTGCATG